AAACAATTCTGTAACAACTTATTTGAGAACAAGTTGAGCACATAGAAATATGATAAAGCCATACAAAACTGAAAAACCCGAAAAAAAAATCTTGGACAACCTCTAAAACAAATGATTTGTACTGTTTTTGGGAGAGAAGCCTGTTTAAGGAGGAAGGATGGACTGGTAGAGCATCGGATTGATTGTTACATATTTAGGGTTCAGAACAGGTTGATAGGGAAACAACAGAGATGACTGGTAGCCAAAGTGTTCGTAAAGACGGCGATTTAGCAATGACATCCTGGAAGAAAATGGTTTATTAGCAAAGATTTTCAGAGAATCAACATATTTAAAGGTAGAGTTCAATTTTCGCACAAATACTCAAATTATAGGAAGGAAGTAATCAAAACATGTTTTTCCAATCAAACACCTGCAAAATGTAATCGATGTTGTGGGTCTACCAAGGTCAGGGCAATGATACAAGCAACTGTCAGCCGCGATTCTACTATTTCCGTCTCTTTGTCGTTTTTTTAAATGCTTTTCTCAGATTTAGTAACCGTATTTCCTTAACCTAATATTTTCGACATACACAATTATTGTAGATTGATCTGGTTTGTCTTTGGATACCTTAAACCCCAGAAGCTGACGTATCCAAATATCGGTACTGCTCTGATAAATCTTCAATTAATTTGAACTATTTCAGTTAATTTTCAAATCATCTACCCACCTGTCCCCAGTGAGCCCAAGTAGAAATTTGAGATATCCTTTTCGAATAGCTTGAGGTTCGATGATAATCTGCCAGAGCACATAACCAGTGGATACGGTGTACAGAAGTAAATCTCCATAAGGCAACGGTTTGATTTTTCCTTGTTTGACCAGATCATAGTAGATTATCTTGGAAAATAAACATTTTTTCCTATATTCTGCAAACCAGGCTCCACGCTCAATTGGTCACCTCAATAGCTTTCCACATAATGTACATAGCAATGGAAATATTTGGAAAAGCCAGCATTGCTAGGCCAGAGGCTGTTCCGGCGGCAACGTTACGGAATGTGGAGCTGGTGAATGGTAGACGATTTAAGCTACACCGTAGGCTCTATAACAAAGCAAAGGAAGAACATTAGGTTAATGAAAAAATCAAT